GTTTTAGTCTGAAAATACGTTTGCGTATCATGCTTTTACGGTCTACACCTAGTACGAATCGTTTTTTGATTCGTCCGACTCATTCCTCCAGCTTTCTGAAAGATGTCAAGCACTTTTTCTAGATTTTTTTTCTTGCAATCATCCTTCTCTTCCGTTAATGTAGCCCAACTCAGTCGTAGTTTATGGAGGAGCTGGTGTATTTTTCTAGCATCTTCTTTGTCTATCCTTCGAAAGTGTTTGGGTTCTTTGTGCAAGCGAACTGAATGTGGTCAGAACTTGTCGCACCCATCTTCTGCCACCTTTCTTGCCCCGTTGCTTTATTCCGTCGGTTAGTTGCTTGCGGTCAAAGACATCCTTCTATTTGGCAGTTCTGATCTAATAGCAAACGCATACCCACCATATGGATACTCGTTGGTACAAATGTGTTAGCTGTTTTCTTTCTCATTTGACGTCTTCTTATCCGTCCAGGTTCCCCGAATTTGTGTCGACCCGCTGCAGCCGCCGTGACGGCGTTGCAAGCGTCTCCGGATCACCTCTGGATTGGTACACAATCTGGCGTCGTAGTTCTGATTCCATTCACGTCCGCCCCAGACCCCACAGCTCCTCCCCTGTCTGGTAGTTTTCCGGTGGACGCGTCCACTCCCATCCGCAGTACTGGTACGTTCTGTCTGCTTATCGTTTGTTTTACATCCGTCTGTTGTACTCTTAAAATATTAGTAGATGATTTGTCTTTTCTTTCTGTCTGTCTGTAGCACCGAGTGCCCTGATGTCTTCAACACCGGATCCGGTTATCCCTTCTGCCATTGTTAATCTTTCGGAGGCTTCGGTGAGCATTACTTGTCCACCCCTTCTTTTCTCTCTGAGGCTTATCAAAAGTCGCCTTTCAGATTGACTTAAAAGAAGCAGACTAAGAATTTCTTGCCCCCCGGAACTGTCTTAACACGTCCGGTTAGCTCAGGTCGTCTTTTTGAAGCTGATAAATCTCTGCGAAGAGCCCATAGCAACGGCAACGCCTCTTTGAGACTATCTAATTAAAAAACCATGTTCTTTGCCATGGAAACATTTTAATCGGGCTGTGCTTTTTTCATGGTGTAACCGTCGTCCGCGCCGTCGACCTAGTCGCCAATGTGTTTCTCGCTTTCATTTCCCTTCCCCCCTACTTATTTTTACCTCCTTGAGATTACCATACCCGTTTACCTCCGTCCTTGGTCTCCACTAATGATGGTCAAAAGTTAGGCTGTATTTCGAAAGTTTTTGCTGCAACTTGAGTGAACTTCCGCTCGCTGAACTCGTCACAATGTCCCATTACTCTCAGTTATAATAGTCACATAGGTTGAGGCCTTGCGAAGTGTAAACGTTTCCCATCGTCGGGCCGATCGGAGCGCATCGCGCCCAAATACATTGCTAATACAAGCGAACATGCGAGTCCCAGGAAATAATGACTGTATCCTATAAATACTGCAAACCCCTGTGCATATGCTACCCATATCTGCTACTGCTACCGCGACGGATCTCGAAACGGCAGGCGAATGAAAGTAGTGTTCCAGCGGTCTAGTCGTCTTCTTCTCAATTGTCATATATGTATTCAGCTACATCTAATTGTGAGTGTACGCGAACGACTGTGAAAGCCTGTCACTGTCTATCTATCTATCAGTGTTCACAGGCTGTCTACCGGCTACTAGGATGTCAGCTAAAAACCGGGCTCGGTACAGTGCTTCTTGGCTCGCGTTATTCAGTTTTCCCCACTGTACCATGGAGTACGTAGGGCTTGCTGTATCTACTATTAAATACCTTCGTCAAGTGAAATAAGCAATTAGGGTCATTATAGCAGGCGTGATCATAGCAACACCCAGTTAGTACGTCCACATTGATATACGAGGACCTAATTGCAGGTGACGGCGAGGCGCCGTCGGCTAACTGACGAATAAGTATAAACCACTGCTTATTTGTTGGTAGTAGTATTATTTCATGTAAATTATTTGCTGTCGGCGTGTAACATGGGCGTGAGTAGTTTCACGCAAGTCCAGTTTGCTCTTACAATGGGTTTTTATTCATTCTTTTTTTTCTGCGCAGGTGAGTGTATATGGCCATGCGGAGGCCGTAAACTTCCTCACTATGGTCTCTGCAGCTGTTCCCGGATTGGAGGCTCAAGACGGCAAAGTCGCACGGGAACAACAACGTCTGATCCGGCGGAGTGCCATCGATTCCTCCGAGGAGCTCATAATGTTTGCTGGTGGTGTTGGCTTTGTAACCCATCACGTACCCTGTAAGTCCTCATTTTTATCTACGATTTAGTACACATGTACGAACTACGTCAGTTCTTCTAGACATTCAAACATGTATGGTTCCAATTTCCTGGCCTGGATTGCTTGTTTTTATAAAGTAGGCTGTTAGCATACGGCAGTAGACTTGCATTCATTAGCCCTTGTTGTTGAGTTCTCCTTGGGGATCCGATCGAGACTTTGTTGGGCGTTGAACACCGTGGCTTATGACAAGGTTTCTAGCAGGATAATATTTACTTTCTTTAGAATCTAGTCTAAACTTTTCTCTATTAGCTACGGACCGTTCCCATTCCCATGTCTTTTCGGAGAGGCCATTTAAGCTATCCCGACTTTTAACTTGCTTTTTTTTCTCTCTCTCATTGGCTACTTCCTCTCGACATTTTAGCCCAATCAAATTGCAAGACCTCCTCTGCTGCAGCTGGCAGCAGTAAAGGTACGCAGCGCAACGAGGCGACGACGCCGCCGCCAAAGGCCACCTCCGACTCGGTTGGACATCTGGTAGCCTGGTCTATCCCCCCTCGCGACCAGCATCAAATGGCCCCTGGTACCTCCACCCAAAGTAGCCGATAGAAACCGAGCACTGGCCCGCTGTACCCCCCAGAGCATCTGATGCTCCTGCCTTGAACGCACAGAGGGGAGGGGAGACTTCCGTTTGGTCCCTCGCGTTCGCCTTCCCCCTCCCCGCCCCGCCCCGCCCCCGACTTCCCTCAAAATCAATGACCGTCCTCGTTGCCCTTTCTGCATTACCTGCACTGTGATTTTGATTTGCTTACTGAGCAGTGATTTCTTTGTATTGAGTATTTTTTGTACTATCCCACGCGCTCCGCCCCGTCCCGCCCTGCCTCATCATGCCAAATAAATGCACCCACAGTCACACCACGCACACACGCACTTGTAGAATTCTCTCGTCTTGTGAACGGTCGGTTGGTCAGTAAATTGTGCTCCGTCTTGGCAGAAAGAATGAATCGCAAACCCCCTTCGCGGTCGGGACTCTACAGTTT